AGGAAATTTATGCTCCAAGTAGGAATGTGACACTGGAGTAAATGATTGCGAAGAGTTACACGTGGAGCCACAGATGGGGGGAATTTAATTTACAGAGAGCAGCCTCTATCTTTTAGCCATTCATCTAATGGAGATTTAAATATGAAATAAATTGCAGGCACTTCCAGCTGAAGCAGGATGTTGGATGATGTTTATTCATATTGAAATCACATCTTTAAGTTCTTCTCAAGCTACAGAAATGTATCTATGACAGACACACATGGACATGTAAAATAATCCTCTTCTCTAATAAAAAGATGTGCATTATTAAAGTGCTGTTTTCCAGACAAAATTCTTGTCATAAACCTTAAAAATTGGTCTCTTATGCATGTTTGATGACTACATTAGCAATACTTTTTTTTTTCACATTTTGGCCTTATTGCTGGTTTATTGTTTCTATTTCGATGAACTTTGTGGAACTTGATTGATCATTTCCACTTCTGTTTGGAAGCACTTTCATTCTCTTCTCCATTCAGAGGCTGTTGTTGTATCCAAAGAGAGGGAAGCTAAAAGGCAAAAAACAACTGAAGAAAAATGAGAAAAGGAACCAAAGCAATTCTTAGCATCACTCCTCTGATTTTAGTTGGTTAATTCCTGTCTTTGAGACTAAACAAAATCATCCATCCTGGTATTATTTCAAACAATTCTACAAAGGAATTAGGAAGATTTCAGGCGACCACAAACACCCTCTTCTTCCCTTCCTTCTCAATATTCTACCAAACAAAAGCATTTTTCCTTCAGGGGCTCTGACAAGGGCCCAGGAATGCAGCTAAACAAATCACAGCAAAAATAATAATTACAACCAAAGCCAAAGTCAAAGAGAGAAAGGGCTTTGCAGAAAGGGCTGCAGACTTTGCACAACCTCCCGCAGATCAGCATATTTTACCGTGTGGGGGAGTTGGGGAAATCCCAGCAGCTTTCTATTGTGTCACGTTATTCCTTGGCTCATTCCCCAGCAAATAAATAATCATGGCAATAAACTGGATTCATACAAGTGCAGCAGGAGCAGACATGGGATCCAGGAGATAAGACAGCCAAGGATCAAGATGCTTCTTGCACATGGGCTGCAAGTTGGGGGTCTGTTAATGTCTTTTTTTTTCTGCTCAACTGTTCTTCTACTCGCATAGACCAGGCTTAGAGGGAGCAGAACCAGCTAAACCAGGCTTTTCCAGCCCAGAATAAGTGGATGTCACACACCAATGTGCTGATTTACTGGTGGATTTAGTTAAATCCCAGTTGTGTTACTGAGCAGGGATGGGCAGTGCTGTTCAGAGCACTCTGGAGTTCCCCCAGTCTGGGCTGCTGCTCCAACAAGTCTGCAGGAGAAATTAAAAGGAATATTTGCTGAATGCAACTGGTTTCATATATATATATATATGAAAGAACTCCTCTCTGCACAGTTAGAGGCTGAAATCTCTCTTAGCAAAGCCTCAGCTACTCACCCAGCTCCCAAGGCCGTGCCTTGCTCACTTTTTAATCACCCATGAGAGGCCATCCTGCTAAAGCTGCCCAGGGGAGCTGCCATCCTCTCCCTCACACAGCATCCCCCATGGCCTTCTAACCAAAAATAGCTCCAAGCGTTTTAAAACACATGTGTTATCTTGGTTTCCTTTCACTTGCAGGCTCAGCAAGCTGCACTGGATGTCACCCCCTGCCCTGGAATATCTGAAGGACACTCTGCCTTTTGTCTTATTCCAGCTCGACTCCACAGCTCCCTGCCCAAATAGAGGGATTGTGATGAAATTAAAGTGATTTTTCTTTTTCAATGATGGAAATACATTTTGAATTTGAAGGAAATGCGAGCCAGAAAAGCAAATTCTCCTGTGCCCATGGCCCAACATCCTGTTACTCTGTAATGAAGCCCAGCACGAACCCACCCCACAGTTCCACATCTGCAGCAGAATTTGGAGCTACAACCCCAAGGCAACAAAAGCTGGAGCTGGATAAAAAAATCCCTGGTCCTTCAGGAGTGCTCTGCAGCCCTAATAACTCTCCCAGAGCCCAAACATCGTGGCAGAGGTTTGAGGTGGGGTGAGAAAGTCCTTTCACAGCCTTCTGGACAAAGTGCAGGATCCCTTTCTACAAACCAGCTGCTCTTTCTATTTTTAAACACTCTGGAGGGACTCAAATATTGCAGTGAGGAGAGGAGAGAAGGCTCATGGAAGTACCTTGGCAGATGGATGCTTAGCAAAGGAAGGGAACTATCCCTGTGGGATGGGACCGGGGATAAATGCTCATTCCAACCCCATTATCCAGCCCAAACAGGTAAAATAGCTGGACAAAGGTGTTTGAGGCTTTAAGGAATGTTGTTCTTCCACTTTGAGCAAGGCTCAGCAGTTGTTCCCATCAGGAGCAGTTACCAGTGGCATAGGAAGTGGGCTGGAATTTGCTGTTCCTTCAGTCTGAGCTTTGTCAAAACTCTGACTAACAGTTTTGCCTCCCTTTTCATTTGCTGCTTTGAACCAAGTGTGAGGCAGCTGTTCATTTTTCTCAGTGATAAATCAGCGTTTCTTGGCACTTGGAAACTCAGGAGACTGGAAAAAAATTAAAAAAAAAAAAAAAGGTGGGGGGGGAAGTGCTGAGGGTGGAGTCAGTTTTTATTTTTAATTATTTAGCACCTTCAGCTGCTCAGCCCCAAAGGCTGAGTGTTGACACCACTTCAACGTGCAGGGAAATAGCTGGAGGATGGATTTGCCAAGGATGGATAAGGGATGAGGGGCTGGAGCCCTCCCTCCCCCAGGGGCCTGAAGTCGCCATGTGGAATATCCGAGTGTGTAAAATGGCTCGAGCACGCAAATTATTGCAAGATCAGGCCCAAAGTCTAGGAAACAGCAATCCTGCCTTCATTGTTCAGCTTGGGCTCAATGTTTGCCTTATGGCAGACTCCTTTCTCTCCTCCCTGGGAGCAGGGACAGCCTTCCCTTTGCTCCTCCTGGCCCAGGAGGGGCTCTGCATCCTGTCCCTGTCCCTCCCTCCCTCCCGCCCTGGGACAACACCACAATTCAACTGGTAATAATTCAAAAGCAAGGACTCTCTGAAGGCATCTGACCCCCTTTTTTTATTTTTTTTTTTTTTTTGAAGGGAGGAGGAAAGCAAACCCCCTGCTCCGTTTCCTGCTGTTGTGCTGCTTATTCCAGAATATTTCCATTGTCAGGGAGCAAAACCCTTTGCATGCCAGCAAGGAGGGGGCATCAGGCTGGGAAGAGAGGGCTAAATTTGGCTCAAATTCCTCAGGAGCCTGACCCCTTCCTATTGAAGTCTACAGCAACATTCCCACTCACTGTCCAGCACCACGTTTTTAAACACTCCCAACCCCAAATTAATTCCATGTTGCATTGAAGGAAGTGATAAAAATAATCCCCCTCAGAATGCATTTTCCTGTAGGTAAAAGGATAGTATTTTGAGTTCACTCAGGAAAATAGTAGGGGAGCAGAGAGGGCACAGAGGAGGCTTCTGCTGGTGCCCTGAATCAGGAAGATGATGAGCAGCAGTAAGTGAGCAGAAATATAAATATCCAGGATCAGGCCACCAACAGGACAGCCATGTGAAAAAAAAAAAGAGAAAACAACAGGTTTTCTGTAAAACCCTGACAGCATTTTAAATAAACTGAATATCACAGATTTCACACAGGCCCAAACTTTTCATAGGTTTCCTTTTTTTCCCTACAATTATTGTTAATTTGGGCGATTGCAACACAGTTTTCTACGCCTTTGCTCTTTTAAAAATTTGCTTTCTGCTTTTACTCTCTTTCCCTATTTGCTCACTAAGACAGCTTTCATTTTCAGCTTTCAATCAGAAAAAAAAAAAGAAAAGGTGGGAGGAAGCTTTATTTCCAGGCACACATTTGACTGTTGAGGGGGAAAAAAAGGAATTGCTTCCCAATGAAAGGGTTTCCATGTAAAGAAGCACAGCCAGATCAAACACAGAGACACTGAAGTTACAAGGACATGAGGTGGTCTCTTAGGAAAATCCTGTTTCTGTTCCTTTTTTTTGGTTGTAACATCTTTGATGCTTCCAGTGGAGTTGTTGACAGGCTGGGAGAGTTGTGGGGGAGAGAAGGTTCCAGGGAGAGCTGAGAGCCCCTTCCAGGGCCTAAAGGGCTCCAGGAGAGCTGGGGAGGGAACTTGGGACAAGGAATGGAGGGACAGGACACAGGGAATGGCTTCCCACTGCCAGAGGAATGGGTTAGGTGGGATATTAGGGAAAAAATCCTCCCTGTGAGGGTGGGGAGGCCCTGGCACAGGTTGCCCAGAGAAGCTGTGGCTGCCCCATCCCTGGAACTGTCCAAGGCCAGGTTGGATATAAACACATAAACAGAAAAATATAACATAAAAATAAACAGAAGTACCGACAGAAATTACAGATAAATAAATGGAAAATATAATAAATAAATAGAAATAACAATAGAAGTTGCAGGTAAAAATAGAAAAGGTAATCAATATAAAAATAGAAATAGCATTAATAAATAGAAAACATAATAAAAATAAATAGAAATAATAATAGAAATTACAGATAAATGGAAAATATAATAAATACATAAACAATAGAAATTACAGATAAATAAATGGAAAATATGGCAAGCAACTAAAGAAACAGAAATAATAGTAGAAATTGCAGATGAGTAGAAAAATCTAACAAATAAAGAAATAAAGAAATTGAAATAATCGTGCGTGCACGTGCTTTTGTGGGTGTTTTTTTTTTGTTTTCTTTCCTTTTCGGGTTTTTTTTTTAAAGGAACCTTCATTTCTCCTGCATCCCTCCCCCCGCTCCCCCCTCGTGTCTCATCCCGGGTGGGCTCCCCCATCCTCCCTCCCACGTCCCCGTGGCCACCCCCACCCTCTCTCCCTTCCTCCCTCCCCTCCCCTCCCTCCCTTGCTCTCCCCCACCCGGAGGCGGCGGCAGCGCCGCGGAGGCTCCGCAGGGGCTGCGCGGGGTGGGCGGGTCGCGCCGCGCGGGGCCGGGCGGGCAGCGCTCCCGCGGCGTGTGCGTGGATGGCCCTGCGCGGCCCGCGATGGCTGCGCGCTGATGGCCCAGCCCGCCCCGCTCGCCATGGCTGCCAGAGACGAGCTGTACAGCAAAGTCATCCCCCGGCGGAACCGCCAGCACCGCGCCGGGACCATCAAACACGGCTCCTCGCTCGAGATCCTGCTCTCCATGGGCTTCCCGAAAGCACGGGCGTAAGTCGGATGAGCGGCCCCTTCCCTCCCCTGAACCCACCCCAACCTGGTCGCTTGACGGCGGGCGCTGCTCGGGACCGGCGGGAGGGAGCTCCGGGGATCCAGCCGGGAGGCGGCGGGGATGCGCTGCCGGGGCGCGGGGATGAGGTCCCGGAGCGGCAGGATGCGCTCCCGGAGAGGGGTGATGCTCTGCCGGAGCAGGGGGGGATGCAGTCCCGGCGACGGGGGGTGAGATGCAGGAGAGGGGGATGCACTGCCGGAGCGGGAGAGATGCGGTCCGGGAGCGGCCGGGACAGCGCGGGATGCTCTCCCGAGCGCTGGGGATGCTCTCCCGGGCGCTGGGGATGCTCTCCCGAGCGCTGGGGATGCTCTCCCGAGCGCTGGGGATGCTCTCCCGAGCGCTGGGGATGCTCTCCCGAGCGCTGGGGATGCTCTCCCGAGCGCTGGGAATGCTCTCCCGAGCGCTGGGGATGCTCTCGCGGGCGCTGGGGATGCTCTCCCGGCAGCGGGGATGCTCTCCCAGCAGCCCAGGGAAGCTCAGCCGGCAGCGCAGGGAAGCTCAGCTGGCTGCGAGGGGATACGCTCCCGGAGCGACCCGGAGATGCCTTCTCGGAACGGTCAGGACAGCGGGGAATGCTCTCCCGCCAGCGGAGGGATGCGCTCCTGGAGCCGGCGGGATGCGCTGCCGGGCCGGCCGAGGCAGAGAGGGGATGCTGTGCTGGGCAGAGAGGGAATACGCTCTCAGAGTAGCCTTGGGATGCCTTCTGGGAGAGGCCAGGGCAGCAGGGAATACTCTCCCGGCAGCAGGGGGATGCGCTCCCGGAGTGGACGGGGATGCCGTAGGACCCGAGGGATGCTCTGGGTCGCATCCCAGCCCGGCTCCGAGGTGCCGGGGAGAGAGAGGCAGGTGGCGTCCCGGGTTCCGTCCCCGCACCGCCGGGAAGTTGGGAATGGCCACAGAGGCAGCTTTTGCACCCCTAAACTGAAATGAGAGCCCGTCGCTCCCGCGCCGTGAAAATAACGAGTCCCTGGCGCGAGTGCTTTAGCTCGGTCAGCCCGGAGATTTTCTTTAATCCCTGTACAAGTCACCCAAAAAGGGACGGAACAATGCAAGAAGATTTCCGGGCATAGCCCGAAGTGGTTCGGCTTTTCTTGTCCAGTTTCTGCCCTGGTGTCATCTCCCTGCGTGTGCCTATGATTTTAATTAATTAGGCAGCAACATAATGCTAACTTAGTGATGAAACAGAGCGACTCCTGAAGTGGGAGCCGGCGCTTTAGGATGCAAATGAAACCAGAGGGGATCGGGATGGTTCCTTGATGTCCTTAAGTTTTCCCGTTTGCACCAGTCAGAACTCGGTGGTTTGGCAGCCTGTCTTTGGGCAGGTTTTTTACAAATATAGAGACAGACAGATGCAGTTTAAGGACATATGTCGTCTGTGGATCCACCAGCACATGCAGGAAATCTTGTGTTTTCCACAGTCCTCCTTGCATTCCTCGGGGCTGTCAGTGATCTATAGCTGTCTGTTGAGATCAGCACACAGCATTTATATACAGGGAATGCAAATGCAGATCAGAGGAGGCTGGTGACTTCATGCTCTGCTCGGTTGGAAAAACAGATGTGCATCTTTCAGAGTAGCTAGAGAAAAAAAAAAAGCATGATACTATGAATGAAACTAGTTATTACCTGCACAACAGTGCCATCAAGGCTGACAGGCAGCCCTGCTCTTACCTCACTGAGGAACTGTGTCTATGGGTCATGTTCTTGCCCAAGAAAACCACTGACATTTGATAAAAATGCACTCAGAGCCTCGTCAGACAAGCCAGAGAAGGTTAAACAGAGGCAGCAAGCCAGAGAAAGGGGTAAAATATCCCTAACTGCAAAAACTATTCATTGCAAATCTAACCAGCCAGATGGGTGAGGCTGTCACGATCCTAAATTCGGGATAATGTGACATAACCCTGCTTGACAGCTCAGCTCTCTGCTGGGAGAGGGACCACTTTCCCCATCTGAAGTAGCAATTAGTGCCCCTGTTCCAGCCTGCTGGAAATGCTACAAATAATTCATCATTAAAATTCAGACAGGAAGCAAAACGGAAATCAGGCATCTCAGCAGTGCCACCAAGGAACAGCACAGGTTTGGAAGCCTGAGGGGCAGGACTGTGTGGCCACAGGACATTCCCTAAAGGTCATTGCTTCCCAGAAAATGCTTTTTAACTCACAGAATGTTACTCTGTAAGTGTGAATGACAGAGAATGACCGAGATGGCAAGGAGGTAAAAGCAGCACCTCACTCTCAAATATAGCATTGAGAAGTACCCTTAAAGCCCTTTTGAGTTTTCCCCCCAATCTCTCCCACCTCTGTTTTCTACCCCAAAGCCACAGTTAGAGCAGGAAAGAGGGAATTCAGTGAAATTTCAGTTCTGTGCTTGTAGATCCTGCCTACAAACACAAGCCAGGCTGGTACTTAAAAGTGGTGACCATCTGTTTGGGTGGCTTGTGCAAAACAAAGCTCCGAGTTGTCAGACAAGTCTGTCAGGCATGTCACAAAATGCCATCTCTGTTGGCATCAGCGGCCTCCTGGCTTTTTGGTAGAGCTGGGGGGGATTGATTGGGGCAGGGGACAGAGGACAGACCCCTGGAGACATGATCAGAGACACAGGAGTTAGCTGGAGATCACAGTTTTTGGGTTTGGTATTGAGCCAGTACTGAGATCCTGGGGAGCACTTTCAGCTTCTAATTCAGCTCGAGCAGCTTCATGTGTCTCACCCCCCAGCTTTTGCCTCTTCCAAACTGATACTGTTTCATGATTTGATAATATTTCTCTATGCCTACATTTTCAAAGCTCAGATGGCCAGGATGATCCTGGGCTTGCACTGCTGACAGGAGCTGAGGAGTCTCGTGTTCCTTTTATTTCCCTGGTTCTGTGTTCCTTTGGGCAAGCCACTTCCACCCAGTGTGTGATGAAATACTCAAAGGTGAAAGGCTAAATACGGTTTCCAAGTGTTACTAGGATGGTTAGTCCAGACCAACTTAGCACAGACTGGCTCAGTTAAGGGCAGAAAATGTGTGAGCCAGGCTGGAACCAAGAGAGGCTGTCAGGTACTGAGTGGATCTGGTGTTCAGATCAAGGTGTTGTTAAATAAGCCTGGTTTTTTTCCCTCCTGAATGCGATTTGTGGGGATAAAGAATCCACCAAAGGACAATACCCATTCACCTCTAAATCCTTGTTGGCACAGGTCTGCCTGCCTTCCTTCTTCCCAGCAACAGCTTCCATTCATCTGAGCTACTCCAGATCTCACAGTGATGCCCAAACCACCTTGGGATGCCCTTACCTGTGCATGGCAGCTGCTCAAACCACTGCAGGATGTCACCCCTTTGAAGTGGTCCCCTCAGCTGCAGTTCTGTTTTGTCGGGTTCTGCACACCCTCATTAGTTCTTGCTTTCTGATTCAAACAAGGAAGGAAGGCAAAGGTGATGTTACAATTCCCACTTTGCAATCTGGGCACCAAGACAAGCATTTTACCCAAATCTTGACCACTTAAACCTATTACGTAGGTACAAGCTATTAAAAAAAAAAAAAAATCTCTAACCTGTGTCTGTAAAATGCCTAAAAATAGGAAAATTTAGTGATGGACTGCAATTTCTTTGAGGATGGAAGAAGACCTTTGACCAAATTTAAATTATTGAAATTTGTCTGGCCTGCATGGTGCAGAAATCAATGTACCTGCAGAGCCTGCACGTTCAGTGATCCACAGTTTTAAAAGTTTCATGACAGACTTTAAACTCCTCCAAAACATCCTCAAAACCAAAAATTTTCATTCTTTTTTTGAATTCTGGGTGCACATATGTGCAGGCATATATAAATATATAACATTTTAAAATGTTACTGCAGTTTCATACAACTCTCAATTCAAGCCACAACCCTGAGATGTTGTTTCAGAAGAGATCCAGGCCTAGGAAAATGAAGATAATTCCCTGGCCCCTGTCATTACTCAAGCTGGGTAAATCACTGTCCATAACCAGAACACTTCAATTAGAGGTACTCTGCTTTTTCAGGCACTGTGCTCTCTGTGATAAGAGTAAAGGAAAACACAGGTGCCAAAGCTTCCCAAAAATAAATGGATGTTCCTTCCCGTCATCTCAGCCTGGAAAAGGGGAACTATCTCCTACAGACAGGTGGAGAATATTGGTTTAATGTGTAATGCTGTGTCCCTGGGTGGATCTGAAGATAACTGCAAACATTTCCCCATAAAAATGGGATAGACAGGAATATTGGACAATTTACAGTGAATCAGCTTCATCACTTCCCCTGTGCTGCACATTTCCTCCTTCTTCCCTCCCACAAAAAGACCACTCTGTGTCCATTCCCCTGGCCCCGAATAAAGCCAAGCCAGTCTGATTTGGATTTGCTTTCCCAGTGGCTGTGAGAATTGAGGAGCATTGAGGGTTTCGTTATTGTCAAAGAAACGCAGCTCAGATCCAGTTTACAAACAGTAAAATCTCCTCCTAAAACATGTTTTGCCTAGTAACAGACTTAGCAACATAGCAAGGCTGGAAGTCCCTCCTTCCTCATGGGTTTGGGCTGGATTTGGGAAGATCCAGCGTGGAAAAAGAAGTGTGGCAGATAATCTTTCCATTTTGAAGTGGTTTCTCTTCCTTCCCGGCCTTGCCTTCAGGGTGTTAGTTTTCTGCAGATGCTCTTGGCTGAAACTCGTCCTGCTACAAAGAACCAGCCCAAAACATGGGCTTGCCCCAAGCCCCACCTCAGCCCAAGCTTTAGAAGGGTTTTTATGAGTTGTGGGGACTTGTGTTGGCCCAGGTGTGGAGGGAAACCCCATCCCAAGGGAAGAAGTTGATGCATAGAAAGGTTTCTAGGAGCAACAGCTTGGAAGGCTCCACTGAAAGGGGGTTTCCAAGTTTTAACAGCTGCTTGAATAGAAAATCCAGGTGTTGCTTTAGGGGAAGATTTCCCTAATGCTCTGTGTGTGCTCATCACTCAGG